ATGTTCTTTTAGTTAATGTAATTCTTCTAAAATTCTTCTAAAATTATTTTTGTCTTTGTGCTCAAACCACACCATCGGATCTAAGGGCTGGATTTCACTCCCACTGACTTCCTGATGAATAAGGATGGAACTATGCCCCAATTCAGGGATATATAAATTTCAGATTAAAGCTTTTCAATCCTAACCCACATCTTTAATGTGTTAATACAGCAGTTTGAGAACTTGCTTTGAACTTTAAAAAAGCAGGGATCTGGACAATGCTCATCTGAAATAATGTTCATTATTAATCACAAATTAAAACTATTAATGCCACAAGATTGTTTTCCACTTGATGAATCATAATGCGTGTACATACCTATGTGTGCATGTATGCATTTACACATGTTCATGCATGCAGATGTTTGAGTGAAACTGCAACAGAACTTACTGCTATTAAGGTTAGCTTGCACCTGTGTTGGTGTACTTCTTTTTCTGCAGCATTCCTGACACCATGGAAAAATATGTTTTAGTTAGCTGCCACTACAAACCCAGCACAAACATTTATTCTTGGTGGGTGTATCTTCTCAGTTGAAAAAAAAAATTGGTTAAAAGTAAATAAATTGGTTCCTAGAACATAAGCCTTATCAGATCTGTAAGAGTTGTGCGGTCAATGGAAGTTATGGCCTCCAACATGAAGATAATGTTCCTTGACAATATCTTAAATCAATGTACTAGCTATCAAACTACTTCTACCAATCGTTCTTAAATAAAAAGATGTGATTTCCATATTAAAAAATGGCCCATACCACAGAATTTAGATGAACTACAACTACATTCAAATCTGTATCCATCATAATAAGATGTAAGATGTTGGTTTGGACCTTTCTGGAGATGGCACATTTCAATTTCACCCTTTTCCCTGTGTTTTTCCTGTTCACAGCTCCTTCTCTTTCATGGGCTTTTCAAGCCCATTATAACTCTCTCTCCTGTATTGGTTAAGATACAGTGAGTGGTCTGCACAAGTTGTTCGCCTTCAAGGGAACATGCAAGCCTGAAAGAAAAGCCATCAGTATTTGCTGCAACTCAGATAACAGAGATGGAAAGAGGAAAAAGGCTTGTGCTCTTCAGAAAGGAGAAAAGGTTTCTAATCTGTTAGGCAGCAGAAGTCAGATCACTGCAACTGAAGGAAAAAAAGAAAAAAAAATGTGGAAAATTTACAAGAATTGTCTCATTTCTCCCTTTAGTTTTAGCTTGGTATTTCTCAAACATTTTGAAAGTGCAACTCTGTTTTCAGATAACAGCCCAACTCAAACTCAGATCCCTGAAGGCAAGGGAGACAGAATCAGCCAGAATTAGATTAAATTTCCTGCCACCAAAACATTGATCATCTGCCAGCAATTAAAGGTAGTTAGCAGTCCCTGACTATTGTAAACAGTTGTAGCCAGCAACTTCACCCTGACTTCATTTGCCTGCCTTGAAGAAACTTGGGTTGTGTTCACACCTAACACCTTATGACCCTATTGAATCTATTCATGATACTTTCTCAGGGATAACAGATCAGAGTATTAGAAAAAAACAATTCAGCTGAACTTCAGATCCTTTCAGTTTCTTTCTGCTTTTCAGTTAGCAAAATAGAGGGCACTGATTTGTAAAATAGAGTGTTCTTCTGCTTTCCCCACCATTTTTGAACGCTTCCTCCTGTTTGGTATATACCTTCTCATCTTCCAGAGAAATAATTTTTGTTTTAAAAATCTATATTCTAGCAAATGGTCACCTTACAGAAAGGTGCAGTATGCAGACAGGTGATCCGTCATCACAAACGTTAGCAACCACATGTGGTTGGCTAGATCTACTAAATATCTGAACTAAGGAGGGCTGGAATGAGCTTGTCCCTAGGCAGCTGTTCCGATAAAAGTCTGTATTCCTCAACATTTTTCATCTGAAGGATTTTTTTGCCTTTTTGAAAAAAATCCAAAGACCACCTTGGACTGCACTGCAACATAGGCTTTCACTAATAATAATTTTAAAATTAGTTTGGGGTCTGAAGGGTCTGGGGTTTACTTCCTTTTATTCCCCTGATTTACGTGCATGGATTTGTTTAGCTGCATGGCGGGGAGGGGCACATGGGCTTTTTTAAGGTTTGGAAGTGTTTAGGGAATGGCTGATGTTGTATTGACCATCATTTAATTAGCAATAATCTAGATCAACACGTCTTGTTCCAGCCAAGAATAGGGCATTAATACAGTCAGAAATAAAGTCAGTCTCTAGCTATGAACACACAGACCTCAGTGACTTCCAGGAAAATCAAAGCAATGTTAATACAAAGAAACAGGAAGAAGGAAAGGAAAAGGGAAAGGGAAAGGGAAAGGGAAAGGGAAAGGGAAAGGGAAAGGCTATTTCCACTTCTTATTCTGATACAGGGCCTAGGCCAGATCTTTTACTCTGGTTGACTTCTGGTTAGCACAAAACCAGAGTGATGAAGTAATGGCAGTATTTAAACTGCCCTTGCAACTCCATGGTCTATAAGCTGATCAAGGTATGTTAAGACTCTGATGCCAACTTAGAACAGCCTTGGGGTTTTGTAAATTATACTTGGCTACTCATGGATCCTGAAACAGCTGCTTAGCAGGCAGGGAACTCCAGCTAAATATCCTCTTCTTTACAGTACTGATGACAGAGCTATCACACTGCTCCTATTCTAACTAGGAAACTGACTTCCTTCAAAAGTGACTTCAAGGTTGCCAGTTCTGCATACTTCTGAGTGCTTTGTAGCATCTCAGTGGAAAAAAGTAGCTGGAGCAATAAGTCCTGGCTCCATCTGTGGTGCTGGGCAGGGGACAACGTTTGCTTACTGTGTATTCTTTGCAGAAGAGCTAGAAGGATTAGTTACGGTTGGTGTGGCTTGCTAAACTCTGATTATTCATGTCCTATGAAGTTTACATGCAAACTAATTAGCAGCACTGATCCCTTAGTAAGAAGCTGAAATCAATTAGGAAGGCAGCTGTCCTTATTATAGCAATTAATTGCAAATGACATTTGGTCTCGGTACTTGATGGCCAAGCTCTTTATTCTGGCTTTTGGGGCTTTGATGTTTTGCTGTGGGTTTTGGTTTTTTTTCCCCCTCCATTACACCGCTGTTAACCCACCCTGATTTTTCCTGGACATAATTTCCATCACACAGAATCTGTCCTATTTTGTGACACACACTTTCCTGGAGAATACTTGGCTTTCTTTACAGGAATTCCTGTATGCTTAAGAGTCCTGGAAATGGGACAAAGTTCCTACGGAAAGGTGACTCCTTACTTCTAGGCAAAGGATGCTGAATTGCTCTCTTGGAAATCTGCTTGACTGTGAGGGTGAGGACAGGGGAAAAGAAAGGTGTAAGCCATCTTTGTTGTACTTGGCAAGATGGTTCAGTTCACTGGGAATGCAGAGCACCCATGCTTCAGTGGGGTGCTAAGTAGTACATGTGTGATTACCAGAAAGATTGAGTTGCTCTGGAGACAAAAAAAATACATTGCTCTCTCTGTGAAGCAGTTGACCGGGATATGAAGAGCGGCACACCCAGATTCTGCAAGGTTTAATTCCATCGTGGTAGTCTGAGCCAGAAGGAGACTTGGTGTATGCCAAGAGAGCAGCACATATTTAACTAGGTAGTGGCCCTGATTCTATGCAAGATGTTCATGCACAGAGACTGGGCTCCTAAGATCCTTGTTTGCTCCTGAACTACTGCACATGCCAGAGAAGAAACTGTTCACCTTGAGGGGTCTAGCTAATCAAGAATGAATTAGTCAGTTTTCCAGAAGACTTCAAAGATGTAAAATGGTAATGTTTTAAAATTATGGGGAGTAAATGTGTTCCTCTTGAATACATATTCATACACAGCTAGAGAACTGGAGCTGTGAGCAAAACATCATACTATGTTTCACGTAACAGAATCTGAAGTTTAGCATTTGTATTTTTGTATCTGTGAGGTTCTAACAGCTGTGGGAACTATTTAGAAAACTGACAGAGGGGCAAGATCATGCCTATGGAGACAACTACAGGGAACTTACGGCTCAATTCAGCAGAAGTATGACTGAGCTTGAGCCCTGACAACTGATTCACCACTGCCCTGCTGCTTGGTGTACTCATTTACATCAGTGTGAAGCATGAATCATCTTAACTCAGCTGCACTTTACACTCACATTGCACTCATGTAAATACTGCTGCAGAGCGCGCGGCAGTAGGGAACTGGGTCAGATGACTTCACAGCATTTCGGATCCTGTAAAGTGGGAATACCGTGTGAAGAAAAGGTTTCACACTATTTTGTCTCTGTAAGTGATTGCGGCAAGCGCTACGAGAGAAACAGAAAGGACACTGAAGGTGTAATTAGGCTTCATGCACAAATTCAATGCACAAAGTCTTCTTAATAGGCTAAAGCCCTGAAGGATTCTAAATTGCACCAAGGAGGAAGATGCTGACACTAAGTTTTCTTCTAATTGGTGGCCATTCTGGAAGAATAAAGGAGAGAATAAAGAAAGAAAGAGCAAAAATAGAGCATAAAATCAAGAACGTTACCAAACTATCATTTCCAATAAGTGTATTTACTAACTTACAAGAAATGCCTCCAGTTTAGACTATAATTATAGTCAAAACCAAGTCAATATGCTGGCCCTCAGACTGAGTAACAGCGTGACTAACACTTGTAGCACAGCCTGGATACAAGTTCTGTTCTGTTGAAACGGTGATGGGGTAAAGAGAACAGATGGGGTAGGAGGTTACAATTTTTATGCCATTAGGATATATGTTGCTTCTAAACATACCTGGTTTGTCTGTAATTGGGGATAGTGAGGCCCTGTTTGCTGTAACCTTGCTCTAAAGTTGAAAACCACCTTGCAATAGGTGGAAGATTCCTCTTACCTAGTGAATGCAGGTAACGTAACATAACACAAGTTTACGAGAACAAAAGTGATACCTAAAATCCTGTTCCCTGGTATTCCATTCCTCTCTCATTCCCCACATGCAAATCCAAACTAACCTGGATGATCTGTGTAGTTTCTGGTTTGCTCTTCTCTCTCTCTGTGTAGGTCTGTGTTCTGTTCAGGTCCTCACCGTGCAGGAAGAGCCCACCTTCAGATGAGTTAGTACAGCTATTTTGACTGTAGAGATGGTATTCTGGAGAAACAATTGCAAATAAATAGTTCCTTTTAGCTTTCTATCAATATAAAAGGCATCTCCAATGTTCTGTCACTTTCAAAAGAAATTGAAAAGAAATATGTACAGAGGTTCCTGTATGGTCTCTGTTAACTTCAGTACAGGGCTGGTCTTCCAGTGTTTTGATTAAATTACTTTTTCTTAAACCAGAATGATTTGAAGCACATGCGTGACACTAAGCAAGAGAAGATGCAGGTAGTAGATACTATTTGGGCATGTAAAGGCAAGAAAACACTTAAAAGCTTCTTTGCTGAAGAACTCAACAGTGCTCTTAATACACTCTAGAACCAAATCCAATATGACTGTCTCACATGTACCATTATATCTTCAACACTGATTGCATCTGCATTGTAGACCAATTGTTGATTGGTTGCTCTACACCTTAACTTTGAGTATAGGGTTCATAAGTGATCACTGATAGAGAAAAAGAAACAAATTTCTTCGCACAGAGTGTGATTAACATATACAAAGATGATTTTCAGCTGATACAGAACTATTGGCTTTGGCTTCTTTGTATCAGCTGCTCTAGACAGATGACTTCCAGGATTTAGGAGGAAATTTGTTATGAATTATTTACTTTTATAATTCAGCTAATTTTCTTGTTGTTGGGATTTTTTCATTATTTTTTATTAAAGCCAAATGATTGTGCTCCAGGACATTCCACGAATGCTGCTGTACTGTTGTTTTAGGAAATACCATTAAAGCAACCTTTTCCTTGTTTGCTTCCCATGGCATTTAACTAAGCTGTTTTAAGAGAAACGTCATTCAAATTGTCAATTCCTCCATGGGTGCCTTAAGATTACTCATAGAAACTGTAGTCTTTTGGGGATAACAGAAACACAGGGCCTTGTTTTCCCTTCATTAACCCCATTTTCCACTGAAGTAACAATATCAACCTTAACACAGGTCTATCAATACTGGGCAAATTCAGGCCTCTTGTTTTTTTTTTCCCTTCTCTGTACGGATTTGATACTAGTGAAAGATACCACATTAGAAACATTAGAGAGTGAAGTCCTCTACCCAACCTCAAATTATATATAGCACAGGAAGCAACTCTACCACTTCCCCCAAAACCTTTCACCACAATTCCTGATTTTTGTCCTGGCATAACTTATTTTAAGAGGATGTGGGACAGCACATCCCAAATAGTACTTGGCCCAAAATAGTAAGTGCCAGCTGTGATCAGAGTTCTTGAGCTGTTTTGACTCAGTCATGAGGAAAAAACAGATCAAGGTATCCACACAGCACAGAACAGTTGAGGTGGGAAGAGACCTCTGGCAATCACTTGCTCCAAACCCACTGCTCAAAGGAGGGTCAACTAGAGAAGGTTGCCTGGGGCCCCATCCGGTCAGGTTTTGAGTATCTCTATGCAAGGAGCTTCCACTGCTACTGTGAGCAACCTGTTCCAGTATTTGATCACTACAAAAAGTTTCTTCTCATGTTTAAATGAAATTTCTTGTATTTCAGTTTGTGCCCATAAATGCTCATCCTGCCACTGGGCACCACTGAGAAGCATCTGGCTCCGTCTTCTTTACTCCCCGCACCATCAGGTATTTATACATATTGATAAGATCCCCTCAAGCCTTCTCTTCTCCAGAATAAACAGTCCCAGGTCTCTCAGTCTCTCCTCACATGTCAGATGTACCAGCCCTTTAATAATTTTTGTGGCCCTTTGTTGCGCTCTCCCCAGTATGTCCATCTCTCTCTTGCACTGGGGAACACCAGAACTGGACACAGCACTCCAGATGTGTCCCACCAATGCTGAGCAGAAAGGAAGGACCACCTCTCTTGACTTGCTAGCAATGCTTTTCCTAGTACAGTCCAGAGGCTGTTGGCCTTCTTTGCCACAAGGGTACATTTCAGACTCATGGCCAACTTGTTGCCTACCAGGACTCCAGGTACTTTTTCGCAAAGCTGCTTTCCAGCTGGTTGGCCCCAGCCTGCACTGGTGCATGAGGTAATTCCTCCCCAGGAACAGGATTTGGTGTTTCCCTTTTTTGAATTTTATGAGATTCCTATTGAGGTGCCTCCAAACACCAGTATGACCATCTGGTCTATCAAGCTTTCTTCCCAGTTTTATGTTGTCTGCAAACTTGCTGAGGGTGCACTTGGTTCCATCATCCAGGCCATTAACGAAGATGTTAAACAGTTTTGGATCCTGGTACTAACCCTGGGATACACAATTTGTGTGGCCCACAGCTGATCTGTTTGCTGCTGACCACAACCGTTTGAGCCCAGCAGCTCAGCCAGCTGCTAAGCCATGCCACTGTTCACTTATCTAGCCCACACTTCATCAGTTTGTCAAGGAGGACGTTACATGAAAGTGTCAAAAGCCTTACTAAAGTCAAGATAAACAGAATCTACTGCTCTCCCCATACCTACCAAGCCAATCGTCTTATCATAGAAGGCTATTAGGATGCTCAGGCATGATTTCTCCTTATAGATCTGTGCTGACTACTCCCAGTCACCTTCTTGTCCTTCATATGTTTGGAAATGGTTTCTAGGATTGTTTGCTCCATCACCTTCCCAGGGATTGAGATGAGGCTGTCCACCCTGTAGTGCTCCAGATCCTCTTTCTTGTCCCTCTTGAAGATAAAAGTGACAGTTGCTTTCTTCTAGTCTTCAGGAACCTTCCCCAGTGGCCATGACCTTTCAAAGCTAATCAAGAGTGGCTTCACAATGACATTAGCCAGCTCCCTCAGCATTCCTGGGTGTATCCCATCAGGTTCCAGGGACTTACTTGTTTATTTGTCCAGTTTACTTAAATATTCCGTAACCCAATCCTCATCCATCAGGGGTAAGTCTTCCTTGCTCCATACTTTGCCGCTGGTCTCAGAGGCCTGGGATTTCTGAAGGTGAGTACTTCCAGTAAAGACCACAGTGAAGAAGACTTGAGTATCTCATCCTTTTCTGTGTCCTTTGTCACCAGGTCCCCTAGATCATTCAGCAGTGGATCTACTTTTCCCCTCATCTTTCTTTTGCAGCTGATCTCCCTTTAGACACCCTTTTTGTTGCCCTTCATGTCCCTTAGCACATTCAACTCCAGGTAGGCCTTGGTTTTCCTTATCCCATCCCCACACATTCAGATAGTGTCTCTATATTCCTCCCACATCACCTCACCCTACTTCCACCTCTTGTAAACTTCCTTTTTATGTTTGAGTTTAGTCAGGAGCTGCTTACTTATCTACACAGGCCTTCTGACACCTTTGTTTCATTTCCTACTCATCAGGATGAACTGTTCTTGAGCTTGGAGGAGGTGATCCTTGAAAATCAATTGGCTCTCCTGGACCTCTCTTCTCTCCAGGGCAATGTATTGTGGGGATTCTTTCAAGCAGGTCCCTGGACAGGCTACAGTCTGCTCTCCTGAAGTCCAAGGTTGTGATCCTGTCTTGCTCCCTCCTCTCAGGATCCTGAACTCTACCATCACATGGTCACTGCAGCCAAAGCTGCCCTTGACTTTCACATCCCCAACACATTCTTCCTTGTTTGTAAATACCAGGACCAGTAGAGCGAGTCCTCTCTTCAGCTCATCCATTATCTGTGTTAGGAAGTTGTCATCACTCCAGAAACCTCCTGGATTTCTTGTGCCCTGCTGTGTTGCCCTTCCAGCAGATACTGAGGTGGTCATGAGGCTTTTCCAGTTGCCTGAAGAAGGTCTCCTTTACTCATTCTTCTGATCAGGCGATCTATAACAGACATCCACCAAAGCATTGCTCTTGTTGTATTGCCTACCAATGCTGACTCACAAGCTCTCAACTGGCTCATTGTCCATCCCTACAATGAGGTAGTGTCAAGCAGATGCTATCATACACTGGAGAACCATTTCACAGCAACATCACGCTCCTCCTCTGCTGCAGTTTGTCCTTCCTATGCTTTCCAGGGAACACTCACAAATTCAAAGATACCCCATTCTGGGAGGCCTCATGCCCATTCAAAGCAACACCACAGTTCAGGGTCAACAATCATTTTCCCTGCAAACAGCAGTTCCTTCCCAGTTTGCTGGTGTTGATATTTCTTTCCCAGCCTCCAGTCTTGCTGTCTGGGACTTCACCAGACTCTGACACATTAGGCCACATCTTAAGACTTGGACCTTTTCCTTCCTAGAAAGAAGTTTCAAGTAAACCTTTCCATCTCATTAATGTAAAGAAACCCTCACGTGGTCCTGGTTACCCTAGGGCTCTCTGCTAAAGTTTATCTCCATTCATTCCCTATGTTACCGCTTCATGATTCAGTCTGTCCTTATATTCCCTAAAGAGCTGTCCTTAGTCATGCAATTCACATGGCATTACATCTTCTCATCCCTGAGTCTAAACGTAAGGTAGCTTACCCTATGACACTTGCAACTGTAACAATTTTTCATTCTGATCAACTGAAACCAGATTTAAACAGGTGACCAAATCTTTGCTTAGCCACATGTAATAACTATAAGCTTACTTATCAAGCAGGCCTGCTTATTTCCACAGCACTACTTGTGGTATGGAGCACTGGCTTTTTGATTCTGCATTCATGTCTGCATCTATCAGTGCCACAGCATCTCACTATGCAATGAAGTGATGCTCATACATTTTTCAAAAACCTGTGCACATTTTAGCTGTGTCAATGTGTGGTCACATAACTAAACCCTGTCCTGAATAGTAATGGTATTTCCACAATAGCTGATGTCCTCTAAAAGAAGGAAAAGCAAGGCAAAAATAAATAAATACATGAATCAACAAAGTATAGTGGCAGAAATAAAAACATTTGATGATACCAAGTAAGCATGCAGCTTTTTTACTGGAATGAGCTGAGTCACTCACTCATGGCTCAACCAGTTCTGAATAATGTGGTCATCTGAAGCAAACAGAAATAGAATCTTTATAGCACCTTACAGCTGTGTTCATTCATTCATTCACTCACTTTCTTTGTCTCACAGGTCTATAAAACCCATTCCTCGTTTTAACGGAGAGAATCAAAAT